ATATGAAAACGTAACAAACTTTTCCGTCCGTCTCCAGAGTGCAGGACCAAAACGCCTCGTCCAGCCGCTCCTCAGAAAACTCCCAAAACTCCCAGCAGCTCCGGCTTCTCCTCCTCCAGGACTCCACCCAAAGGTTTATCCAGGTCCAAATCACCGAGCTCAGGTAGGGAGCCAGGACGCTTATATACCTGTGGAGACACAGGTATAGAGTTTAGGAGCTCCATGGTTTAAGACAAACATAGAAACATACATGTATTTATTCTTTCTGTTGTTTTATGGATCTTAAAATGACTCGGTGACTTTAAACATATAAACACATTTTAACCAATCAGATCGCTCTTTTCTCCGTCACGCAGCCAATGAGGCGTCAGGATCCCAGTCGGCTGTAAAGTCCAACAGATCCAGTCCGTCTCCCACCAGTCCCGGGACGCGACGCAACTTAAAGGTCAGAGAGACGATTTAGTTTGAAAACTCGTTTCCTGTCAGATTGTTTTCCTGCAAAAAAAAAAATTAAAATTCAAATAAACTGATTTAAATTAAGTTATGAAGGAGTTAGTGTTGAACTGTTTTTGCAGCAGAAACTTAGAAGGAAATTTCTTACACATTCAGAATGAGGAAGGTCAGGCTGTTTAACTTTTATTCTGCTGCTAAAGTTAAACAGAGAATAGCAGAGCTTGCCCCCTGGTGGCAGCAGTAAGCTACTGATTCTTTCCTCTGTCCTGTTTTCATTTATAGTTAATCGCCTTCATTTTGCATCAAATTCCAAACACTATGAAGCATTAAGAAAAATGTCTAAAACCTCATCAAATTAAGTTGTGAGACTTAATTTGATTAACAATAAACAACAAAATAATGACAAAAATTAGTTATAAATCCCAAAGTTTTATGATTTTGAAGTCATAAATGGCTTTAAAAAAAGGAAGCTTTAAAAATGTGGATCATTCTCAACAAATATATTCACATTTCCTCAGAAAAAAGCGATTAAAATCTAAAAACATCTTCCCAGTTAGTAATTCTGAAGATTTCCTGCAGCGCTAACTCAGATCTGACCTGGTTTTTATTCCCTAACATCTGTTGTTTTCCCATCAGATCTCTCCTCGCCGAGCGTCTTCCACGGATGTGAACGGCGAAGCCGAGCAGCCGGACGACGCAGAGGAAGGTTTGTGCTTCCATTGTGGTAAAAATGAAATCTAATGAAGATCTTTTTAGTTGTTTCTTAAAAGCATAACAGTTTTTAGTCTTTATTATTAGAAAAACCCACTGAAGATGAAGCTGCATCTTTACTTTTAATCAAAAAGTAAAATAAATGTTTTTGTTTTTTCTGTCAGTGAACGGAAACCGATCTGTTTCGTCCTCCACCATCAACGAGAAATACAAGGTGGGAAAAGTGATCGGAGACGGAAACTTTGCTGTGGTGAAGGAGTGTGTGGAGAGGTAAACCTCACTTTAAACGTTATGAAAGTAATTAAATGGTTTTTAAATTAAATAAGTACATAAATAAAAATGAATCAACTGTTCCTGCTCGTTTCTTTGTGCAGGTCGACCGGACAGGAGTTCGCTCTGAAGATCATTGATAAAGCTCGATGCTGCGGGAAGGTAGCTGCTATTTCCACTGTGCAGAAAATGATTTTGTTATCTGCAATAATCTAAACTAAAAACAAACAGAGTTCAGAAATCATCCAATCTAACTGTTTAAATACATCAGCTTGTGTTTAATGATGAACTTTTTAAAGCAGAATAAATGATCTTCTGGTGAATACGTTTCTCTGAGCAGGAACACCTGATCGAGAACGAGGTGGCGGTTCTGAGGAGGGTCCGGCATCCCAGCATCATCCAGCTGATCGAGGTGGACGAGACGCCCACGCAGCTCTTCCTGGTCATGGAGCTCGTTAAGGTCCTTTAATTAACCTCTGACCTTTGACCCAGAAACCAGTGATCTTAGACCTTTACTTTAAATTAGAAAAGAAAAGTCTTTTCATGGTCAGATGTTAAAGCCTTAATATTGTTTTTATCCAAAACTAAATAAATTGTTAATATTAACCATAGATTAAAAAATTTGAATTTTCTCAATGGTTTTTTTGCACATATTTGTGTTAATTGTTTAATCATCATCGAATGATTAAATGAATAAATAAAAGCTCCATTCTGCACGTTTCACTGGTTTCTGGTTCCTTTAGGGCGGCGATCTTTTCGACGCCATTACCTCCTCCACAAAGTACAGCGAGCGAGACGCCAGCGCCATGGTGTTCAACCTGGCCGGCGCCATCAAGTATCTACACCGGATGAACATCGTCCACCGAGACATCAAACCCGAGAACCTGCTGGTGCAAAAACACCGTCATCCACAGATCTGTTACTGTAACAGGAAGTGTTTCTGTTACACCTGAACTCTGCGGCGCTCGGCTCTGGTTTCGTTCTGCAGGTGTGCGAGTATCCGGACGGCACCAAGTCCCTGAAGCTGGGCGATTTCGGTCTGGCGACGGTGGTGGAGGGTCCGCTGTACACCGTCTGCGGCACGCCGACGTACGTGGCGCCGGAGATCATCGCCGAGACCGGGTGAGAGACAGGAAGTAAAACATGACGGCCATTTTTAAAAACCATTTATTACTTTTAAAGACAACAACAGCAAAAAGAAACATCAGGACAGACAGATGTGACGTCTCCCTCATGCCCCTGCAAGAGGGCAAAAAGCTGCTTGTTTCCATTTTAATTGATGAAATAATTTATTTGGACAATTTAGGTTATGGGAGGTTTATTGTTGTTTTTAATTCTTTTGTGTTTAACTACTTTTATACAAAACAGATCCAACAATCATTCTGCTGCTAAATGAAATATTATTTTTTATTGGTTTTTAATTAAACTATTTAAGCTAAAGTTCACATTTGCAGACATACTGGAGACTAGAAATGATGATAAATACTCATCTCTATGAGTAAATCATCCCATCAGTGGTAAATAACCAGTAATGTTGATGTTTTCGTCCAGTTACGGTCTGAAGGTGGACATCTGGGCGGCAGGAGTCATCGCCTACATCCTGCTCTGTGGATTCCCTCCTTTCAGAAGGTCAGTAAACGCAACATTTTACTTTGACCAGGAAATTCCTAATGAATGTTTTTATCTGCATCATCATGTTATCATGAACGTTTCCTGTTTTGTGATCAAGTTGGCGGGAAGAACTTTGGAATATTTGTCATTTGTGTGACAGGTTATTAAAAATGTACACATTTTTGTAACTTTATTTAGTCATTAGTTGCGCAGTGTGTTTTATTTGTAAGTGTGCTAACAGAAATCTGCTTTACTTTCCGCAGTGAGAATAACGTCCAGGAGGAACTATTTGATCAGATCCTCAGAGGGAAGCTGGAGTTTCCGTCTCCAGACTGGGACAACGTCAGCCTGTCAGCAAAGGTTCGGATCAGTTTATGAAAAATAAACGTCACATATAAACCTGTTAATCTATAGCAAGGTTATGACTTAACAACATGCATAAAAGTCATTGTTGTTCTTTAAAATGAATCAAAATCTCTACATGAATATTTTGGTGAAAAAGAACTGAGAACAAATTATCATTGTCCGTTTTAGTTTGTTTTAGACGAAGGCTTGGTCAAAAAACACCAAAAAACAAATCAGAAATCAAAGTGAACCTAAAAGAAACAATCTGAATCCCATTCTGTTGTCTGTAGATGTTATTAAATCTCAGATCAGATCAGTCTATTTTACTGCTAACGGTCACATGACCTGCTCTTCAGATGCTGATCAGTCAGATGCTCCAGGTGAACGTTGACGCTCGGTTCACTGCTGAGGAAGTCCTCTCCCACCCTTGGGTGACGGTAAGAAACACAAAAATTAACATTTTTCCACTTCGCTGCAGCACTTTGGTTCTTATCGTGTAGAAATGTATTTATGAAGGTGGTAAAGTTGCTGTTTTTGTAGGACGAGGCACCAGGAGAGTCCAACACTGTGAGCGGCCCGGAAGATCACGACGGCGAAGAAGCGCAGGAATCGGATCGTGAATCTCCGATTCTGGAGACGAAACAAGTTCCCTCACCGCTGGTTTAGGCCACATCCCACTGGTCTAAAGGAACCAACATGATGCAGACTGGGAACCAACTGGGAGCCAATTAATCTTCTTAAAGTCTCCATTTATCTCCATTTACCTCCAACCGACTCCCTTTCATTTCTAGGAAAGTAAAACTTTAAATATAGACAGAGGTAATTAAACATTCTCAACTAGTGACTTAATACACACAAAGTGAAGTTATCCCAGCATTATCTTAGGGATGAGATGACGTTTAATCTAAAACCAAACTGTTCAGTAGCTGCATCTCCTTTACAAGTGTGTGAAAAACTGTTGATATCCCATTAATGTTTGGAAAAAACTATTTTACAATTACGACACTCAGAAAAAACACATTAAAATTACAGGTCTTTAAAAATCATGGTGCACCATTTTCCTCAAACTGCTTCCTGCCGTCTTATTTGTCGTTTCCAGCAGTAGTAACATCCAGTTGTTGATCACATAATTTGTGCAATACACTGATTTTGATAAAACCACCTCATCCTAGCTCAAAAAGTTTTATTGAGAAATTTAAACTTTTTTCAAAATTGCTGTTTCCTAACAAAAGATTATTGAAATTATTGGAGCAATGGAAACGCAGCTACTGACAGTCAGACAAATCCACTGCATTCTTACAAATTTATTCAACATATCTACAGGACTTTCCCTCAGATCTAGTCAGAAATGTTAAATAAGTTTGAGAAATTTGCCTTATCTCTCAAAAACTCAGCCAAAACAAAACCCATTATCTCAAAGTGGACTTTTGTAAACTAAACCAATAGTCTTTTATTTAGTTTCTTTTCCCTAAATAAGGCTTATTATGGTTCATGTTTAAGTTTTCAGAAATGGGATTAATTTCTGAATCGGTTTATAGAGTAGCCTTAAATCTATTTTAATTTAGAGCAAACTGAACGAGTTTGCAGTATTTAAAATGAACCCAAAGGTTATTTTCTCCACTTTTCTCTCTCTTTGGTCTTCTGACACAGACTGAATTTAATGGTTATTTACTCCAGACCAGTCTCTCCAGTATTAAGTCCAGTTTATCTTCTGGTAACCGTCCAGAGCGTGTGCCAATTGATCACCAGAAGGTTTTGCACAAGGCCCGGCTCTGACCCGTTAAAACTGGCACCGCTACTGAAACCCATTCATGCTGCTTGCAGGACTTCCATGAACATACAGACACCATCCAGGTGCTGCCGACTCCTTCGATTGGACTGAAGTTTCCTGATTAAATACCATGGTCTGGAATGAACTTTAAATGGGATTTTACTGATTTTACTACAAGTAAGAACTGCTCTGACCTTCTCTGAAGTTCCTGCTAAGCCAGGATGTCTTCCATTTATCTGAAAATATGTCCAAGGTTTGTCTCTCCTTCACTGGAGAAGACTCACGTCGTCTTCTTGCCATCAACCAACTAAGGAGATATTTGAGCACTGTGCCTGTCTGCGCTGCTGATCCAGTCTTTTTCTTTTTCCTTAATATTCCCATCTTTATAAAAATAATGCAGAATCTTTGGAAATATCTCTCTAGAAGAAATAATTATTTTCATATTTTTTGTCTGTTTATCAACTGAAGTTTGAGTTGATTGGAAGAGTCTCGGGAAAATGAAGGCAGCAAATCTGAATTTTGGGTTTTCATTCAGATATAATGAGCAAGAAAGAAAAGTCAGAACTCAAAATGCATCCGTTTACCTTCGCTTGAGCTGAATCCCATTTCCTACTCATCATATCCGGGCTACACTGCAAAAACACAAAATATTACCAAGTATGTTTGTGTAGTTTCCAAGTTTTTCTCTTTGAAAAGAAATTAGAAAGGAACTGTGGAAATGGGATTCAGCCTCAGTCTTTAACCTCTTCATACCTTCACCTACTTTAAGACATTGTGTTTTATTCCTGATCGACTGACTGACGTCCATTTTTATCACCTGAACTTTTCAAGCATCGCTTTAAAGATGCATTTGGACTGAATTCAAGGGCACACTGAAGTCCAAACGATGAGCTCTTTGCTTCTCCTCACTTTATATCATTTTAGATAAAAGGGTAAGACTGTAAATAATGTAGATAACGTTCTGTCCGTCAGTGTCTGTGTGAGTCTGTTGTGAAGTAGGAAAACAGTAGCAGATTGAAGAATAAGTAGTGTTACAAATTAAAAGAACAATCTCATCGTCAATGCCTCAAAACAAAAGAAAAAAAAAATCCTACCTAAAGAAAATGATTTTCCACATAACTAATAAACCATTTTGACATTTCAAATGTAATTTTTAGATAGTTAAAAAAATATTTGGGATTCAGGATTTTCATGTGATGACCTGTAAGGAAAGGCAGCAAACATCCATGAATCTCTTTCTTTTATATAATCATGTTGCATCCAACTAACGTTCGTCTCCATTTGCACTTTTCATAAAACTGTCTGTCCAAAGCTGAGTGTTAGTTTGATGTTTTTGTTTTTAGGAAAGAGGAACTTTTGAAATGGGTGTTTGCATCAATGGGAAAGAAGTTCCCGTCTATAAAACTTGAAAAGAAAGTGTCTGAATAAACACATTGACCTGATGCAGTGATGCAACCTTTCCATGGCCTTTGACCTTTGGTTGGAGCCGCTCACTCAGAGTTTGGCTGGAGGCTCTCCTGAAACTATAAATGTTCAAATTCATTGAAATTCAACCATTCTTGGCACATAGAAAGCCTTTGTAACCAGGCTTCAATTGAAGTAAATATTTAGAAGAAACTGAACTTTAACTCATTAATTTAGGCTGAATTACTTTAAAATGGGAAGCATCTGAACATTACATGTACTGGTCCAGTGGTGTCCAAATGATTCACCTCAAAATTCATTAAATTAAAGTTGCAAAAATTAGATTTTTAAAAATATTTAAAAATATTTTTATGGATTGTATATCATTAAAGATCCAAAACATAAATAGGGCTTTGGAGTGCTACCTTTTAAAATAAAAACCTAAAATTTTCAAATTTTTACTTTCTGTTTATTGGCCAATTGTTACCAGTCTTGACTTGAAAAAATGGCCCCTGACCCACACTTTGTTTTACAAACTCCTAATAAAGCCCAAAGTGATTTGAATCAGGTGTGTCAAGGCACAATTGCAAAAAAAAAAAAGAAGAAAATCAGACTTGCTGATGCAAACAGATTTTCAGCTGCATCAAGATGTCTGCAGTCAAATGTTTTAGTTTATTTCAATCAGAAATATGTATCTGAAGTTTGGCAGTAAAAGTTTCTGATGAGCTCAGGTTGTTATCAACAGTCCCAGATTACTCTACTTATCACTGGCTGTAAAATTGCATCAACTTTTGTTATTGAGATACTAACAAGTCCATCTTTCTGAGCTGTTGTTACCTTGGAGAAAAACTTCAGCCAAACTCTGGATTGGCGACTTGACCTTGACCTTCTATGCCTGCTATGAACCCAGTGGTCTTAATTCTTTTCTCTTTGCTTTATACCAAACCAAGAGGAGCCTTCAGTTGTTTGTCCTGCTAACACCTGAGTCAAAATTGAGAGGAAATCTGTTCAGTTCATGAGAATCTTTGATGACAATGTTTTACTTTTTCAAACTGTAAAAAAATGTTCTACCAAATTTATTTAGTCTTGCAGATAAACTCCTAAGTGGTGCATTAAGATAACTGAAAACTTACAAAAAACATAAATCTAGAATTGAAAGAAAATATTGAAAGTATTAGGGCCAAGTTGAGAAAATAAAATAATGAAATTATGCAAATGATTCAGAATAATATGAGAATGAAATTGTGGTATTACCAGAAAAAGTCATAATATTGCAACTATTTTTTAAATATTATCACTTTAATTTCATATTATTATAACTTTTCTCATATGACTAATCTCATAATTTTAGTACTATATTCTCATTATTCTGACTTAATTCAGAATTCAACTTTATTCTCACATTATTAATGCTTTTTTTCCTCATAATTAAATTTTTTACTTTTTCTTAGTGCAGCCCTAATACTTAATAGTAAAAGTACGTATGCAGCAATAGTTAATATCATCTGCATTTGCACTTAAGTTTGCTGTAAATTGTCCAAAAATCAGAGCTGGACTGATTATTATTTTTTTTGTTTTTGCCACTTTTTTCTGCGTTTTCTGTCTCACTGACAGAAAACCAAAAGCAGAGAAGCAACTCGCATCTTTCTAAACTTCCCATTGAAACCTTGAGGCCAGTTCTCTTTAAATCACAGATAAAGTTTTATTGACAGGCAGTGTTCAGGTTTTATTGATGTTGGACCATACAACGTAGCGATCAAAGATAAGATGGAGCTGAACTGAATTTTTCCCAGATTGAATCAGGTGGCTTTACTTACTGGGCCCTGTTTTTTTGGGTGTGTGTGGATGGGTGTGTATGTGTGCGTGTGTGTTTACTTCATTTCAAGCCTCATTATTATTGATTGAAACAAATTTTCATTTACATAAAGTGACAAAATTCCCAATTTTGAAGGAAATTGATCTAATTTTTCCAAAAAGCAGATACTGAGATTCATGTTCCTTTAACTCAGTTACAACATAGTAATAACTGAAATATATACATTAGATCATTTTTGGTAGAGCGTTTTCTTCCTGAGATGCCTTTGATAAAATGAGTCAAGTTTTCACATGAAGGAAGCGTGAGAACATCAGTGTTTTCTAATGACATGTTTTAATCTCACAATAAGCTGTAATGTTTATGTGTGTCGAGGTGAAAATGTGTATGATCGCTGGGATCTGGGTGAAATGATGAATCCCTTATTTGTTTTGAGAAAAGATTAATTAAACTGTGAAATGAAAGTCTTGCTGACATCGCTGTATACTGTTGTGTTTTTAACTATAAAAACATATTACCGCTGTCATATCTTTTAGTATCAGCTTCCTGCAGAGAGGGGAAAACACCTTAAGGCTCCACTTCCTCATGATTTGGAGACATCTGTAATTTACACTGGACATTGAAAATATACAAACTCTGTTAAAAAAGCTGGACAGACAAGAATAAAGAAACAAAAAACCATTTCCACCTTTAATGTAAGCTATTTTCTGCATGTAAAAACAAGGCAGCAACTTGGTTGAATTGAACAGTTTTCTGATTCACGTTTTGATTCTTCTTGAGTTCATGCCTAAAATCAGTTACTTTGTAGTTAATTGACTTTTAACATTTGCAGTATTTACACTGCAAATCCACAAAATGTTACCAAGTATTTTTGGTCTAGTTTTTAGTGCAACAATTGTAGTGCATTAAAAAAAGAAAAAAAAACCTTTAAGTAACTTTTAAGCAGAAATAGGTATTGTTTTAAGTAAATAATTCCTTAATATAAAAAAAGCACTTCTTCCATTTGCAGATTATTGTTATAAGTGAAATTATATACCAATGGAACTAGTATTTTTTATCTCTATCAAGGAATTATTTACTTAAAACAAGCTTTTATTTCTAGCTGAAGTTACGTGTAAGTCGGTTCTGTCTTGTTTCAAGTATACTAAGATATTTGCACAAGAAACTAGACCAAAAATACTTGGTAAGATATTGTGTTTTTGCAGGGTAGCTAATCATAGCTATTAAGGACCTTGTACAACAGTGTAATTTAAAAGAAAGTGTATAAAGTAATGCATAGAATACTGAAGCATTTGGGACAAGGTCCAGTGGAAGTCTGTTTTCATCCAAGCTCTTTCATTCGATACATGCAAAGAAAGGCTATAACTCTACATTACAAAAATTGTACTGAAGTAGAACAATAGATACAGGAGCTTGTTTCTTCAGTTTGTACTTTGAGGACAATAAATTGCAGAATACCCAATCATATAAGATTAAACCTCCATCTCTTCTCATTGAGAAGAAAGACAGATGAGGAGTACCCCAAATATTTTTTTAAATACACTCAAATCAAGGACTTATTTTCTTTTTCTAATCTCATCAACACGAGTCCAAACACATACACACTCATTCTGGTATCAGTAGGTTTACATCTTCATTGTTTGTAAGCATTACTAGCTGTCAAAATTACACTGTTTTAATCATGCTTTCTATAAAAGAAGTGAATTGGAAAAAATCTCCGGCCTGAAAAAAGTGTTGGTTTTTGCAGTCTGTTTTGCTGTCTTTGACTTCAACCACTAAAGATTTGTTGAAGTTAAAGTTCTTATTATTTTCCACTGGCATAACATCCAATTAAGTTTGAAAACTGTATTAACATTCTGTGAATGTTTAGAGGAGACGTGTTTTCTTCATCACATTTGTCACATGATCCAAGTTATATTTTTGCAGGTTTATATGTGGTCAAAACATGCTGTAAAAGTTCAAAGGGTGTGCTTGTTATGTACTCATAAATACTGATACCTGATAACATAATTATAAATCTCTGCAGTGGTTCCTCCCAACTAAAAAGTAGGTTAACGGATTCACAGAGCTGAACAGCAGAACTTTGAAAAGTCACAGGACTGAATGCTTCTGTTTTTTGAAAGAGAACCTTGTATTTTTCTGCACGCAGGTAGCTTTATGTGTTGTAGAGGCAATTAATGTTTTAACAAACTTTTTGTTGAAGTGGGATATGGCACACAAAGGACTTCAGATGGATTCTCAAGTCTCCTGTTGCATCTGTCTGGATCTACTGAAGGATCCAGTGACTATTTTCTGTGGACACAGCTACTGCATGAACTGTATTAAAGACTTAGGGAAGGAAAAGATCAGAAGGGAATCCACAGCTGCCTTTATTGCAGGAAAACTTCAACACTGAGGACTGCCTTGAAGAAAAACACCATGCCAGAACAGTTGGTGAATACAAAGAAGATTGAACTCAAACACGCTCCAGCTGATCACTGCTATACTGGACATGAAAATGTGATCTGTGACATTTGTACAGGAAAGAAGATGAAAGCTGTCAAGTCCTGTCTGGTTTGTTTGGTTTCTTACTGTGAAAATCACCTCCAACCTCATCATGATGTTGCTCAATTGAAGAAACACAAGCTGGTAAATCCATCCAAGACACTTGAGGAACACATCTGCTCTCGTCATGATGAGGTGATGAAGATCTTCTGTCAAACTGATCAGAAGTGTATTTGTTATCTCTGCTTAATGGATGATCATAAAGGCCATGAAACAGTTCAAGTTACAGCAGGAAGAGCTGAGAAGCAGAAGGAACTTGAGGCAAAGAGAAGAAAAGTCCAGCAAAGAATCCAGGACCAAGAGAAAGATGTGAAGCTGCTTCAACAGGAGGTGGAGGCCATCAATGTCTCTGCTGATAAAGCAGTGGAGGACAGTGAGAAGATCTTCACTGAGCTGATCCGTCTCCTCCAGGAAAGAAGCTCTGATGTGAAGCAGCAGATCAGATCCCAGCAGGAAACTGAAGTGAGTCGAGTCAAGATGTTCAGGAGAAGCTGCAGCAGGAGATCACTGAGCTGAAGAGGAAAGACGCTGAGCTGGAGCAGCTCTCACACACAGAGGATCACAACCAGTTTCTCTACCACTACCTCTCACTGCCAGCACTCAGTGAGTCTACAGGATCATCCAGCATCAACATTCGTCCTCTGAGACACTTTGAGGACGTGACAGTAGCTGTGTCAGATGCAAAACGTGTCCTAGAAGAGCTACTGACAGAGATAAAAACAAACATTTCACTGACAGTGAGTAGAGTTGATGTTTTACTGCCAGAACCAGAACCAAAGACTAGAATTGACTTTCTGAAACACTCACAAGAACTCACTCTGGATCCAAACACAGCAAACAAATTTCTGTTGTTATCAGATAGAAACAGAAAAGTAACATTAATGAAGCAACAGCAGCCTTATGAAGATCATGCAGAAAGATTCACTTATTTTTGTGAAGTCCTGAGCAGAGAGAGTCTGACTGGACATTGCTACTGGGAGGTTGAGTGGAAGGGGGGAGAGATTGAAGTTGCTGTCACATACAAAAACATTTCCAGAGCGGGTACATCAGAAAAATGTGGATTTGGACTCAACAACAGATCTTGGGCTTTGCACTGTGATGCAAATAGTTACTCCTATTCCTACAACAATATTAAAACTCCAGTATCAGGTCCAGTTTCCTCCAGAGTAGGAGTGTACCTCAATTACAAATTGGGTGTTCTGTGTTTCTACAGCATCTCTAAGAAAATGACTCTCCTGCACAGAGTCCAGACAACATTCACTCAGCCGCTCTACGCCGGGCTTTGGCTTCTAGATTACGGAACCACAGCTGAGCTCATTAGAGTTAAGCAGAGTACCAAGAGCAACGCAAGCTGGGTTTTGTAATTTTTTTTTTAGTAAAAAATGACACTTTCAATCCAAAGTTGCATTAAAACTTGCATTAAAAGTCCTGTGAACTTTGTCTTAAAATGTAATTATTTACCAAATGACACTACCTGACAACCGTCACAAACATTAATTAAAATTCCATCATGTTTATGAAAGTGATATGTCAATCTTATGCACAGCCCATAAAACAAAGTGGATGATGTCCAAACACTAAGAAAAAGGGACAACTGAAATTAAACAGTCATGTCTGGATCAACTTTGTTAAAATATGGTTTTAATTTAGTGTAACATCCTGTTTTTGCATTGAGAGAGACTTTTGGTAATTAAGTATTTGCAAAGCTACAAGGTTATTTTAATTCTGGCAGTAATGTGATTCCTTATCATTCAATCATGTACAATTGATTTTTAAGGCTCATTGGATAAGTAGAATATTTATCCTTCACTTTCACACTGATAAAAAAATCATGTATTTGATTTTTAATCAGATTGATGCATTTGTTGATCATTGACATAAGAGTCCACTGTTTATGAGGCCTTATCAAATCAATTAATTGATAAATTAATACTTAAAGTCCGATGAAAGTATTGCACTGATCTAAAAGATTAATGTGGGATGTAAATAACTTTCTTAAGGTCATTCAGGAAGATTTGACACTAAATGTTCAAGATTTGAACTTTGGTATTTAAGAATGCTGTTAAGGTTTAATTTTTACTTGTTTCAACTGGAAAAAAAAAAAATTTCTGCGACTCAAATCGTAGAAACTGGAAAGATTTTTATGTAAATGTTTATATATTTTCCATGTCCTCTGTTTCTGAACTTTAATGTCCTATTAACACAAATCTGGGAGAGAAGGTCTGTAAGCATTGTGTAAAGTTTAAAGATAAAAATGTTATTCGACTCTGTGTTATTGTGTTTTAATCAGATGTGGATTGGATGATTGTTTAACACATGAATCATTTCAGAAACTAATGAATTATCAACAGTTTATTGTTTTGCTTAGCTGATCCTTATGTTTGCTTTTGATTTCTTTTTAAATGTTTTATGAAAATAACTTCTTTAATTTTGTTTTGATCACAAAACATATTGAATTTACTGGGTCATGTTTTCTTATACGAAAAGAAATGTTGAACATTTTAACTCTGCTCATTGCTACTAGAATATTGAAAGTTGAAGATGAATTGAGGATGGATGTTTAATAAAAAAGGAAAAAGAACTGTTTACTCATGGTTACTTATTACTTCACTATTATTCAGCCTCCTGAAAGGCAATTCTGACTCAGCCACATCTTTCATGGCAACACAAAGTCATAAATACATTCCAGTGCAGAAACACTATGCAGCTGCTACAAAAACTTTTCCAACACAATTGAGCAACTTACTTAAAAAACAAGACACTTAATTAAGCCAAATCTATGGAGAACATGAAAGACCAACACCAAACAGAAGAGGTGACCTTAGATCAGCTTCAAGTTTATTTATTTACCACATTTCCAATCACTCAAGTGCTTTACCAACTAAACAACAAAAATATACAATAACCTGAGGCAGTTTTTGTAATAAAAATATATAAAAGAAAATTAAACAATCTGACTAAAACAAACAATGACTAAGGTTGGTAAAGAACAATGCCCATAAAATTGGGTCTTTAGTAGAGATTTAAAATGTCCCTTTCTTGAAGTGCGGTGTAGAGCTGGAGACCCAGGTACAAGTGACAGACGAATGTTTAATGATGAAAATAATCCAAAAACAGTCCGGAGCACAATCCAAAATTAGTCTAACAACCAGGCAGTACGGCTGAGTGGAAGCCAGGGCTCAATGCCCGTAACAAGTGTAGAAACGAATGGACAACAGTATGGCAGCTAGACAGAATAGATACTGATTAGAAGCTGGGGCCCGACCAGGACCAAAGAACACAGGTGGAGTTAAATACACAAAGGATAATCACGAGACAAGGGAATAATCAAGGCAAGACAAGACAACACAGAAACTCAAAATAAACAGAAAAACTCAAATCAACTCAGAGAAAACCCAAATCTTTACAGTCCCAGTGTTTGTGCAGATCAGACTGAGCCAGAGTCTGAGAGCTGCAGCAAGTTAAGAAGACTTTAGAATAAATAAAGTCAGTTGTGAGCTGGAGCTCATGGTTCTTACTGGAGCGTAGAAAGATAGGAGCTGAGATTACATAGAATGGGATTGGCTGTTGAGTGATTTAACCCTCTCCAGGCAGGTGTTGCAGGTTTGCAACAACTTAGCCAGTCTTTTCAAGTAATTTGAACCTGAGAGGGTTAAGAAGAAAAAGTAAATTAAAATTTCATACTGTGTGTAAGAGGAAGCTAGTGCAGTGAGGCCAACACTGGGGTTTTATCCTTCTGTTTCATTACAGTCCACAGGATCAACAGGTCTACCATTATTAGATGAGGCATAACAAGTGCAACTGCTGCAGTTGTCTCACAACTCACAGTAGTTTTTACTTCACAAAATGGTAAAAATAAAGGAGTTTTTCTTAAGAAACTAAAACTGCCCAATTTATCTACACTAATGTCAAAATTGTATAAAAAGATGCATACATGCATTTAGGAGTACTAACTAATGAATCCCATGCAACACACTACTTCCTCTATTATTAATTATGGCCGTATGAAAAAAAGCAAATAAATTTTTATGTCTAAGATAAGAAATTCGTAAATTTTAGAAAATTATTATTATTAGGTTTTAAAATAATTAAAAACAAAAATCTTTAGTTTAAAGAGGATGGATACATTTTCTGCTATACTTGTGTAAAACTATGTTATGAAAAACCACTGAATTTCTAAGACATTTGTGAGAAAAAAATGCATCTAAGATTTTATTTCTGGTATTTTCAGTGTCACTGTAAAGATTGCCATGCCTTTATTTCTCACTGTCTTTAACGTAGAGCCTTTAAAACCACAAAATCAGAATATTTTTCTATATAAACCCTAGTGCTTTAAGTGTTACGTTTAAGTTATGATACTTCTCAGATATTAATTTCTATCTACCTGTAGTCATCCAGGACATGACAAAACTAAAAAAGGTTTAAAACTAAAGCAACTTAACAAGTTTCAATAATATGATTTAATAAAACCTGCTCTTTGCAGTTTTTCAGTTTATTGTGATATAATTGCAATGAATTCTGTTTTTTTTTTGTCTGTTCTCGGCTCAAATGCAGAGCTGTCGGTAAATCCTCAGCTCCTCCCTAACGTTTCAAACTCTTCTCATTAAAGTAAGAGTTAAAGGGATAAATATAAATGAGATGTTTACTACCTTTGACAAAAAGCTTAAGTCTATACAAAGCAATGTAGCCTGTTTTGCTAGTTCTGATTTCCATGACATCCCAAAGCAGTTTATCAAGATTCAGCCAAAGTAATGGAATAAACTGCAGTCTGATCTTCATTGTTAATCTATTTCTTCTTATTGAGCAGTGAATGTAAATAAAATGTGTTACATGTCTTTTGCTTTAAGTATTTACTAACTGGAGGGTTTTTTATTTGTGCTGAAAGGCCACAGTTAGCTCCTCCCTTCAGCGGCTCTAGGGGAGCCTGTGCCTTCAGTGCTGCTGTTGGTCCTCCTACACGTTGGGAGGAACCATTGATCTAATGGTGGGGGAATGTAAAAATGTATTCTTATTTTCTAAGATGAATGAAAAATTTATTTCGTTCTTTGTTTCTTTTGCCTTTTTATATTGAGCCTGTTTAAAGGCAGACTTTATTTAATCTTTTTTTTTTTTCTTTTGGGGAGGTCGGGGAGGATTTTCCAAGATTGGGGAGGTCCAGATCCCTTCCCGACTCCAGGATCTAGTCTATGGGAGAGCCGGAAAAGCAAACAACTTCTTTTCCTGAAGTGGAGTCCGTTTAGCGTTTCCACCACTGTTCAGTTGTTTAAAAAGATTTCTTTGTTCCTACTTTCTAACAGGTGAGAAATCTTTGTGATTGTTATGATCTATGTGCAGCAAAAGGCAAGAGGTGACAAGTTAAGTGGATTTGGCTTCTGGAGTGACTCATTTGGTTTCTTTGTAAGAAATTAAACTTCAGAGACTCTCACTGGTATTCAGAGCTGCAATGGAGCAGCCAGGATATCAAATGGATTCTGTGAAGTTCTCCTGCTCCATCTGTTTGGATCTACTGAAGGATCCGGTGACTATTCCCTGTGGGCACAGTTACTGTATGAATTGTATTAAATGCCACTGGGATGGACAAGATCAGAGGAGAATCCACAGCTGCCCTCAGTGCAGGAAGGAGTTCATACCAAAGCCTGCTCTGGAGAAAAACTTCATGTTAGCTGATTTGGTGGAGGATCTGAAGAAGACCGGACTCCAAGCTGCTCAAGCTGATCACCGCTATATTAGACCTGAAGATGTGGCCTGTGATGTCTGCACTGGTAGGAAAATGAAAGCTGTCAAGTCCTGTTTATCTTGTTCAGCTTCTTATTGTAAGAATCACCTCCAACCTCACTATGATGATCCACCATTACAGAAGCACAAACTAGTGAATCCCTCCAAGAATCTCCAGCAGACCATTTGCTCTCATCATGAAGAGGTGATGGAAATTTTCTGTCGCACTGATCAGAAGTGTATCTGTTATCTCTGCACTATGGACGAACATAAAGGACATGAAACAGTCACAGTTGCAGCAGAAAGAGATAAGAAGCAGAAGAAGCTCCAGGAGAGTCGACAACAAATCAAGCAAAGACTCCTGGAAAGAGAGAAAGATGTGAAGCTGCTTCAACAGGAGGTGGAGGCCATCAATGTCTCTGCTGATAAAGCAGTGGAAGACAGTGAGAAGATCTTCACTGAGCTGATCCGTCTCCTCCAGGAAAGAAGCTCTGATGTGAAGCAGCAGATCAGATCCCAGCAGGAAACTGAAGTGAGTCGAGTCAAAGATGTTCAGGAGAAGCTGCAGCAGGAGATCACTGAGCTGAAGAGGAAAGACGCTGAGCTGGAGCAGTTCTCACACACAGAGGATCACACCCAGTTTCTCCTCAACTACCCCTCACTGCCAGCACTCAGTGAGTCTACAGGATCATCCAGCATCATTGTTCGTCCTCTGAGACACTTTGAGGATGTTACAGTAGCTGTGTCAGAGATTACATATTTACTGGAGGACATTCTGAAAGACACATGGACAAACATCTCACTGATGATCACTGAAGTGGATGTTTTACTCTCAGAACCAGAACCAAAGAGCAGAGCTGCATTCTTAAAATACGCACAAGAAATCACCCTGGATCCAAATACAGCAAACAGATTTCTGTTGTTATCTGAGGCTAACAGAAAAGTCACAGCAATGAAAGAAGAACAGTCGTATCCTGATCATCCAGACAGATTCACAGATTCTTTTCAGGTTCTGAGCAAAGAGAGTCTGACTGGACGTTGTTACTGGGAGGTGAAGTGGAGAGAAGGAGGAGTTAATGTAGCCGTTTCATACAAGAACATCAGTAGAGGAGCTTCAAATGTTTTATTTGGAGCCAATAACAAATCTTGGTCATTTAGTTGTGACACAGACAGTTACATTTTTACAAACAAAGTTGAAACTCCAGTATCAGGTCCAGTTTCCTCCAGAATAGGAGTGTATCTGGATCACAGAGCAGGTATTCTGTCTTTCTACAGCGTCTCTGAATCCATGACTCTCCTGCACAGAGTCCAGACCAGATTCACTCAGCCGCTACATGCTGAGCTGAGGAAAGCTGGAGCAGCTCTCACACACAGAGGATCACACCCAGTTTCTCCTCAACTACCCCTCACTGCCAGCACTCAGTGAGTCTACAGGATCATCCAGCATCAAGATCCGTCCTCTGAGACACTTTGAGGACGTGACAGCAGCTGTGTCAGAGCTCAGAGACAAACTGAAGGACTTCCTGAGAGACTCATGGAGAAACATTGAACTGGCAGTTACTGATGTGGACGTATTGCTGTTTAGACCAGAACCAAAGACCAGAGCTGGAATCTTACAATATTCAACCGAAATCGCTCTGGATCCAAATACAGTAAATATAAATTTGTTATTGTCTGAGGGGAACAGAAAAGTAATTGTGGGTGACAGACAGCATTCTTATCCTCACCGTCCAGATAGATTCAGTGACTGTTTTCAGGTTCTGAGCAGAGAGAGTCTGACTGGACGTTGTTATTGGGAGGTGGAGATGAGAGGAGGTGTAGTTGATGTAGCAGTTTCATACAAGAGCATCAGCAGAGCAGGATGGTCAAAGGAATGTTTATTTGGATTCAATGACAAATCTTGGTCTTTGCGATGTGACAGAAACATTTCTGCATTTTTGCATAACAACATTAAAACTCCAGTACCAGGTCCAGTTTCCTCCAGAGTGAGAGTGTACCTGGATCACAGAGCAGGTATTCTGTCCTTCTATAACGTCTCTGAAACAATGACTCTCCTCACCAGAGTCCAGACCAGATTCACTGAGCCACTATATGCTGGAGTTGGACTCTGTAATGACAAGTCCTCTGCTGAGTTGATGAAACCTAAATAGTCAGATGGTTAAAATGTGTATCTTAGTTTCTGTCTCTTTAGTCTCCATCATTGTTGTCGTTTCTTCAATGCTCAGAAATCAGCTGTCTTTCTGGAGCTACTTTCTCATCTTGTTTGTTGTTTTGTTGATTTTGTTGTTTGTTTCGGTGCTGCCCCTTCTGCTTTCTGTTCAGCCATGGTGACTATAACTGCTTTGAAGGATTTTGATTCACCTAAGCTAATCACATCTACATTTATTACTTTATCAGAGCAAATGGTTGTTAAAATCCACACAGCAAATTCAAAAGTGTTTTGGTGAGAACTGTAAGCCCATCATCATCCTCATGATCCTCATGATCATTTTGATTATCTATTTGTGTAAAACTAACAGTTTTATCCTGCAAATTACAACTGTAACGAATGGTAGGTAATTTATAACACTGCAAAGGTGCAGTTTAGAAAATCCTGTTTTTTGTCCTCAGATCTAATTTACCACAGACATTTAACAATTACCTTATGTTATTTTATTTTCCAGCATGTAAGAAACTATCAGTCTGTGTTACATTGTTTAAGAATTTGACACTGTGAGACATTCATCACATCAAGAAAAACAGTTATTTATGCTAAACAAAACTTGTTAGTGTGAAAATAATGAAGAAATGAAGTAAAAGCAGAGCTGATCTTTTCTTGTCTATTTTAATTACTGTAAAGAGTAAAAAAATATAAATAAATAAATAAAAATGAGCATTACTTATCATGGGTTTTGTCTAGTACTTGTAAATGAACACTAGATGGCAGTATAAGGCAGAAAAACCAGGGTAAAGGTTATTGGACCAGGACTAATACATGAATTAAGGAGCTTATTTATAAACCATGGCTTGGTTACTATTTCTAAATATTGTATTGTATTATTCACAAACATATGAAACTTTGTTGTTGTATCACTGTTTCCAGAATGGTTACTGAAGTGAATATTTGAACGACTTGAATAATTATAAATTGAAACAGCTCTACTTTCTGTGAAGAAACATACTGTAAACCATATTTTGGTAAAATAATTAATTGCATTGTGGTCTAACTGGTTGAGTGGTGGACAACACCTGAATATGTAAATATTAAAACATTTATCCATTATTTTATGTCTTTGTTGGAGATTACATATTTTAAGGTTTGGAAGAAAAGTGGAAACTTTACATCTGTTAAAATCCCACGTTAGAAAAACCAGGTTTTCCCTAAAGTAGTGTTGTGTCTTATAGTATCTATCAATTATGAACTCAGCTGGTAAAGTATAGTCTGGTCCAGGCACATAAACCAGGGCAGCATTGATCTGTCAAGAACACAGTCAAGATGTAATAATGTTAGGTACTGTCGGTTTCACAAACCGTGACATAATCCAGTAGCTACTACGGGGTGGTTCAAATGAACCAAAATGTTTGACTGAATTTTCAGAATGAAACATGCACGTTTGGTTAATTTGACTCTTACCTAAGAAACATTTTTTTTGGTCAAATTCAATTCTCTAATGTCAAAACTTGCTCAAAGTGTACAAATCTTTACTGTGGAACAAACACTTACTATTGCAGAGTTAGTAAATGGTTCACATAGATGAATAATATTAACACTGGTTACAGTCAGTGTAAATGGTGGGAGCTAAGATGCATGAAAAACAAATGGAACATTAAATATGGTTAAACGGAGGCCAATTTCAGTCTGAATTGAAATATTTCAAAAGCTCAACATGAAGTGACAAATTTAACTGCAAGTTGAAGCCTAAAGAAATCCCTCCAAAGCAGAAACTGCTGCGAAGCTCCTCCCTTTTATTAAACAGAGTTTCAGCTCTGCTGCTTCATTTTCTGGTTTTTCCCGTTTAACTCATCTGAAAGCTTTAGTATCAATAGGATCCTTGAGCTCAGAACACAAGCTGCTGTAGATCAGCAACAAGTTGGTGTTTGTCTTCTTGTGAGACATATCTACTGGAGGAAAAGAAACTTCAGACATTAAGTTTGTTGAGAAGTGAAATGGCTCACAGAGGAAATCACATGGATTCAGAAAAATTTTCCTGTTCCGTTTGTCTGGATCTACTGAAGGACCCGGTGACTATTCCCTGTGGACACAGCTTCTGTATGAACTGCATTAAAGACCACTGGGATGGACAGGATCAGGTGAAAATCCCGAGCTGCCCTCAATGTAGGAAAGGTTTCATACCAAGACCTATCCTGGTGAAAAACATTGTGTTATCAGAGTTGGCAGAGGATCTGAAGAAGACTGGACTTCACGCTGCTCCAGCTGATCATTGCTATGCTGGACCTGAAGATGTGGCCTGTGATGTCTGCACTGGGAGGAATATTAAAGCTGTCAAGTCCTGCCTGGTCTGTATGATTTCTTATTGTGAGAATCACCTCAAATCTCACTATGATGTCCCTGGACTGAAGAAACACATGTTGGTGAATCCCTGCAAGAATCTTCAGCAGAACATCTGCCCTCATCATGATGAGGTGATGAAAATCTTCTGTCGTACTGATCAGCAGAGTATCTGTTATCTCTGCTTAATGAATGAACATAAAGATCATGAAACAGTCCCAGCTGCAGCAGAAAGAGCTGAGAAGCAGAAGAAGCTCCAGGAGAGTCGACAACAAATCCATCAGAGAATCCAGGACCAAGAGAAAGATGTGAAGCTGCTTCAACAGGAGGTGGAGGCCATCAATGTCTCTGCTGATAAAGCAGTGGAGGACAGTGAGAAGATCTTCACTGAGCTGATCCGTCTCCTCCAGGAAAGAAGCTCTGATGTGAAGCAGCAGAGATCCCAGCAGGAAACTGAAGTGAGTCGAGTCAAAGATGTTCAGGAGAAGCTGCAGCAGGAGATCACTGAGCTGAAGAGGAAAGACGCTGAGCTGGAGCAGCTCTCACACACAGAGGATCACACCCAGTTTCTCCTCAACTACCCCTCACTGCCAGCACTCAGTGAGTCTACAGGATCATCCAGGATCAACATCCGTCCTCTGAGACACTTTGAGGACGTGACAGCAGCTGTGTCAGAGCTCAGAGACAAGCTACAGGACATTCTGAGAGACTCATGGAGAAACATCTCATTGGCAATTTCTGATGTGGATGTATTGCTGTCAGAACCAGAAAGAGAACCAAAGAGCAGAGCTGGATTCTTAAAATATTCAGAGAAAATCACTCTGGATCCTAACACAGTACACAGAGAGCTGTTATTATCTGAGGATCACAATAAAATATCAACTTTGGATGAAGAAGACCACGAAGACCAAGAAGATGAAGAACATGAAATAGACGGAGTAGAAGATGTAGAAAAAAAAAAGAAAACAAGAAGTGAAAAAGCAAGAACAAAAAACAGACAAGCAACTAGAAGAAGAAGTGCTTTATTCTGATCATCCAGACAGATTTAGTGATATCCCTCAGGTCCTGAGTAGAGAGAGTCTGACTGGACGTTGTTACTAAGAGGTGGAGTGGAGCGGGGAAGGAGTTGCTGTAGCAGTTTCATACAAGAACATCAGTAGAGTCGGAAGAACAAATGAATGTTTATTTGGATTGAATGACAAATCTTGGTCTTTGATTTGTTTCAACAATGGGTACACTGTTCATCACAGCATTGTGCCAAGACCTTCTATTTTCCAAAAATTAAAATTTCCATCCAAGGCTGTGGGTGTTAAGAGGCGGTGATTTGAATGCACTTCTTTAATGTTTGTAAAAATTATAATTTATTTCTTTGAAAAAATAGTGACAAAAAAATACATAATTAAAGTGTCTTAAAACATAGTCAAAATGAAAATTAATCTTAAAAAGGTGTCCAACAAAATGCTCCAGAAAAGTGATCAAAATATCATTTTACAACCTCCCCTCAACACACCAGACATTTACCAAACAAATTTTTTCCCGCACCCAGCACCAGGTGTGTTCTTAATTACTCAAATTAATGGGAGGGTCTAACAATTAACATAGTCTTACTCTAAACAATTCCAAACACAAAAAGTATTACAAATGTCAATTCTAAATCAACTTAAATATATTCTAACTACACAAAAAAGAAACTAAATTGTTACAAATTATAATTCACAAAATTTAACATAAATGGCCACGACACATTGAAACTCCAGTACCAGGTCCAGTTTCCTCCAGAATCGGAGTATATCTGGATCACAGAGCAGGTATTCTGTCTTTTTACAGCATTTCTGGAACAATGACTCTCCTCCACAGAGTCCAGACCGGATTCATTCAGCCGCTACATGCTGGAGTTGGAGTTTATAATGATGGAGTCTCTGTTGAGTTCAGTAAACCTAAATAGGCAGCAACTATTTGATCCAGCTGGTTAGAATGTGTATTTTACGTTCAGTTTCTTTGTCATTTCTTCATTGCTCAGAGATTAGAGGGCTGCTTCACATATGTTGAGCCAGGTTTAAGTAATTCAGGTGATTACACGTCCTCAGATGTCTTCAGTAGACCAATGAGATCAATCATCGATTCACTGACACTATGCTACATAAATTGCATGAGCCATGTGTCTCAAACAAACATCTTTTGATGAAGGATTATGAGGAATTGAAGCACATCATACTAAAGAAAAAAAACTGCTGCTACAATGATAGTGGACTTATTGAATGCGTAATTAGCTTAAAATAGACATCTTCAAACCATTCTTAATTAAGAAAAGGTTACAAACATACCTGTCATTTACTCAAATAAACAACTTTAACCACATAAATGAACAGTGGAAGTCAATATTATGTTGACATGCTATAAGACAGAATCATTCGTCTTTCTCTTGTTTTTCCACATTTCATTGCTGTTTAAATAGTACAGAGCAAACAGAAAAACAGGTCAAGATTAAATGTAGAACATTTGCAGCATCTGGGTAGTATGTGGATAAAATTTTGACTACTATATGTGAATCACTTATACTAATAATTTAAAGGCTCTTGCCTAAATCAACTTTAGTTAGCTTTACTTGTGCTAAACTTATTTTTTGAATTGTGATGCTTTCGTTTTGAACAGGCAATTTCTTGTTTAACTGTCTGATCTCCTGAGGAAGATAATTGGTTTGAGAGGATCCAAGATGTCGCAATGTTTGGGGCCATAAGTTTCACAAACCATGATATTGTTTGCAAAGATGTTCTCCACCAACAAGGATAATCCCACTGCTGAGATTTTCAAATGAGCTGTTAAATGTATTCACTCAGATGAATAATATTAACACTGGTTACAGTCAGTGTAAATGGTGGGAGCTAAGATGCATGAAAAACAAATGGAACATTAAATATGGTTAAACGGAGGCAATTTCAGTCTGAATTGAAATATTTCAAAAGCTCAACATGAAGTGACGAATTTAACTGCAAGTTGAAGCCTAAAGAAATCCCTCCCAAGCAGAAAACTGCTGAAAGCTCCTCCCTTTTATTAAACAGAGTTCAGCTCTGCTGCTTCATTTCTGGTTTTTCCCGTTTAACTCATCTGAAAGCTTTAGTATCAATAGGATCCTTGAGCTCAAAACACAAGCTGCTGTAGATCAGCAACAAGTTGGTGTTTGTCTTCTTGTGAGACATATCTACTGGAGGAAAAGAAACTTCAGACATTCAGTGTTGTTGAGAAGTGAAATGGCTCACAGAGGAAATCAGACGGATTCAGAAAAATTTTCCTGTTCCGTTTGTCTGGATCTACTGAAGGACCGGTGACTATTCCCTGTGGACACAGCTTCTGTATGAACTGCATTAAAGACCACTGGATGGACAGGATCAGGTGAAAATCCCGAGCTGCCCTCAATGTAGGAAAGGTTTCATACCAAGACCTATCCTGGTGAAAACATTGTGTTATCAGAGTTGGCAGAGGATCTGAAGAAGACTGGACTTCACGCTGCTCCAGCTGATCATTGCTATGCTGGACTGAAGATGTGGCCTGTGATGTCTGCACTGGGAGAATATTAAAGCTGTCAAGTCCTGCCTGGTCTGTATGATTTCTTATTGTGAGAATCATCTCAAATCTCACTATGATGTCCCTGGACTGAAGAAACACATGTTGGTGAATCCCTGCAAGAATCTTCATGAGAACTACTGCTCTCATCATGATGAGGTGATGAAAATCTTCTGTCGTACTGATCAGCAGAGTATCTGTTATCTCTGCTTAATGAATGAACATAAAGATCATGAAACAGTCCCAGCTGCAGCAGAAAGAGCTGAGAAGCAGAAGAAGCTCCAGGAGAGTCGACAACAAATCCATCAGAGAATCCAGGACCAAGAGAAAGATGTGAAGCTGCTTCAACAGAGGTGGAGGCCATCAATGTCTCTGCTGATAAAGCAGTGGAGGACAGTGAGAAGATCTTCACTGAGCTCCTCCAGAAAGGAAGCTCTGATGTGAAGCAGCAGATCAGATCCCAGCAGGAAACTGAAGTGAGTCGAGTCAAAGATGTTCAGGAGAAGCTGCAGCAGGAGATCACTGAGCTGAAGAGGAAAGACGCTGAGCTGGAGCAGTTCTCACACACAGAGGATCACACCCAGTTTCTCCTCAACTACCCCTCACTGCCAGCACTCAGTGAGTCTACAGGATCATCCAGGATCATTGTTCGTCCTCTGAGACACTTTGAGGACGTGACAGCAGCTGTGTCAGAGCTCAGAGACATCGTACAGGACGTCCTGAGAGAACCATCCAAAAAGATGTCACTGAAAATAAAGATAAGAATGTTTTAGTACCAGAACCAAAGAGCAGATCTGGATTCTTAAAATATTCAAGAGAAGTCACTCTGGATCCTAACACAGCACACAGTAGGTTGTTGTTGTCTGATGGGAACAAAAAGTAACTAGAATGGAACAACAAGAGTCGTATCCTGATCATCCAGACAGATTCACTTATTATGCTCAGGTCCTGAGTAGAGAGAGTCTGACTGGACGTTGTTACTGGGAGGTGGAGTGGAGCAGGAAAGCAACAGTTCACATAGCAGTTTCATACAAGAACATCATCAAAGCAGAAAGATCAAATGAATGTTCATTTGGACTTGATGACAAATCTTGGGCATTATCTTGTGACAAAAACAGTTACACATTTTATCACGACAACGTTGCAACTCCGGTTCCAGGTCCAGTTTCCTCCAGACTAGGAGTGTATCTGGACCACAGAGCAGGTATTCTGTGTTTCTACAGAGTCTCTGAAACCATGACTCTGATCCACAGAGTCCAGACCAGATTCATCAGCCGCTACATGCTGGAGTTTGGCTTTTAGATGATGGATGCTCTGTTGAGTTCAATAAACCTAAATAGTCAGCAGTGATCAAATGTCCCTGCATTTGATATACCTTTTAGTTTCAGATTCTTTAGTCTCAATCAATGCTGCTTAGAACTGCCATTTCAGACCAAATGTTGTTCAGATGCATGTACAGGTGAGCTGATGGAAATTGTAATCATCATCATCATCATTATTCTATTGAACAAACATCACATTCTGGCTCAACTTGACTATTTTATTAACTTGACATTTGAGATGCTTTCAGCACCTCTTGACAGGAGGATTCTGCTCTACTTAATATTACTACAATAAAGTTAACATGTTTCATGTTTGTACAGGAAAAACATCAATCCAATTAGAATATACAAAATGCATTTATAAATAATTATAACAATGAAGAGCAGTTGTTTTTAATCCTGAATAGTAATGGCTCTTGAAAACATTGAATAAATGCAGTGACTGGTAGAATAACACAATGTTATCTGACTTGAGATGTTAAACAGTGAAAAAAGACTTGAAAAATATGTTGTTTTAGTGGGATATGAAAATATAAGTTGACTTTTTTCAATCTGCTGGTCCCACTCCTTAAAACTGTGCATGATGTGATCACTTGGGATCCTTCTAACAGAGGATCTCAACCACACTTGAGCCAACTCTGACCATCCCAATTTCAGTGCACATAATTGTTGGTGACCTTCTGTTAAACCCCTAAGAGGCCATCCCCAAAACTGACTGGGCCCAGGAGTTAACGACAAAGGAATGAGTGGACTTGTTTTGATTGCACAATCCTGCTCCTTAAAGCTGTACCTGGTAAAATGGCATTGGACCCTCTCAAGTTCCACTTTCTCACTCCACAAACTTGATTCATCTCCCCTCACACTAGATGGCCTCCTTCACCAGTAAGCAGCTTATTCTCAATAGCCTCCTCCTCAGCCACTGCTCACAAACCATGGAAGAAAGAAGAATGTTTAGTAATTCTTTCATCATTTTATGTGCTTTTGCAAATAAACATTTTTTCCTTTAAAATGTCTCCCATATGTGATTCTGCATGTGAATAAGAAAATCCTGAAGATATTTGCTGAGTTTTGACTTGTGAGAGGTGGACAACACCTGGACACATAAAAATTAAAACATTTATTCAGGATTGTATATATGTGTTTTATATGTCGTGTTGTTCAAGGTTTGTCAGAAAACCAGTAACATCACCACATCTGTCAAAATCTCTCAAAAATGATAAGTTCTGCCTTTGCTTATTTTCTCTTTACGTAACAGAAAGATGTTTAATAGAGTTCGAAGTCCTCATATGAATATGAATTCTGGATCGATTATTTACTTTCCCAAGTAAATAATTTACCAGCATATATTAATGCACATGGATTATTCTACAAGAGTTGGTAAGTGTACTCACACAAATTGATATCATATGAATATAGAAATGAATGTAACACTGATTACGATCAACTGGAAGCAAAGTGGGAGTCTGAACTAAAAAGTTTAAAAATAGGAAG